TTTCTGGGCTATCTTTTCTTTTTTAATTAAAAATTTTTTAAGATTTATTTATTTATTTAGACAAAGGGTTCACGCTAGCACACGAGTTGGGGGAGGGGCAGAGAGAGAGAGAATCCCAAGTGGACGCCCCGCTGAGCATGGAACCTGACCTGGGGGTTCAATCACATGACCCTGAGATCATGACCTGAGCGGAAACCAAAAGTCAGACCCTCAACTGACTGAGCCACCCAGGTGCCCCCAGGCTTTGTTTGTTTGTTTGTTTGTTTCTTTTTTTTTTTTAAAGATTATTTATTTATTTATTTGACACAGAGAGAGAGAGAGAGAGAGAGCACAAGCAGGTGGAGTAGCAGGTAGAGGGAGAGGGAGAAGCAGGCTCCCCGTTGAGCAAGAAGCCTGATGCGGGGCTTGATCCCAGGACCCTGGGATCATGACCTGAGCTGAAGGCAGTTGCTTAACCGACTGAACCACCCAGGTGTCCCCCGGTCTATGTTTTAATAATGGTACCTACCACACTGGATTGTGTTGAAGATTAAATTAGTTAATGCTTATAAGGCAGTTAGAAAAATAGCTGGCCTGTAGTAAGTGTTCAATATTATTGTGAATTATTTGTCTTTTCCAAGTAGCAATGAATGGTCTTACTTTCGGGTTGGTTTATTGCGTGGAAATGTGTGGTACAGGCTTGATGAAATCTTTATTGTATCCTTCTATCCCATAGCTCCAACTATGACTCAGGTGACCTACATTAGGATTACACAGAATGAGCTCAACCCTCATCAGGGCCCTGTGTATTTGAACACAATTATAATGCCCTGCCCCAGTCTCCTTTTTTCTATTTCCTTCCATATTTCCTAATAGGGTATACTTTTGAGTTCTTTTCTTGGCAGTCCTGTGCTGAATATATTTTATGTATCTCCTATACTTGTGGTCTAGTCATTAGAGAAATAAAGGAGAATTTAAAAGAAATGAATGAAATGAAATGAAAAAGTCATTCTTCATACCGTATCTTTATTACTGTAACTCAAAGTTACATTGCCTGTTTTGTTGTCTGTATTTTACTATTAAATCACATAGTATCTATTATTAATTATCCTTCCCTAAATTTACACCATCCACATTTGGCTTGTCTAAGTCTTTTCATATATTCGTCGAACGTATCAACTGTTTAGCATATTACCATAGACAAAGCTTTGTAATTGACACTAGATATATTCTTCAAGGGGTCTAGAGTTTCCTGGAATGTCATGCATGCAAGCTTGACTTGTAATAAAGTGTTATTGTGATACTTGTGATAGAAATATGCAAAGAGTATATGATAACATAAAGGAAGAACACTTAACTCTCACGGTGGGGGAGAGGATGAAGGTATGTCAGTGAAGATGGTTGGGGATGGTGGAGATGTCTGGGAAGTGCACACAGAGGAGAGAGTGTTTGTCATAAACTGCATTTAAGATGCTAGCCACTAAGAGAGTGGGAGGACAAACCCTTTAAGAAGAAGGAGTAACTAGTAACATGGCGTTAAACAGATGGACCTCTTGGAACTACACGTAGCTAAGTGTGGCTGGAACATAGAAGGCAGGAGCAGGAATTGGTGGGAGGTAATAGGTTCTGAAGGCAGATAAAAGTTAGATAGGCAGATAATAGGTTCTGAAGGGCTTTGCATGTCATAGTAGGGAGTTAATACTTAATCCTATAGGTATGAGGTAACAGGATTGAAGAGGGACAGGAATAAATAGATAGGATTTAAATATACACCAGACTGGTAGCCTTTATAGTGTGATCTGTGAATTAAAGGGAGTAGGAACAGAGCTACAGTGGCTGATGGAGAGGCTTTTCCTGCCACACAAGTAAGTAGAAACATGAAGTCATGACCAAGACAAGGCCTTGGGAATAGGAAAGAAGGGAAATTTTTGAGAGATTTATTAGTAGATGTATTTTGAGCACTTACTCATGTCTTTGATAACACTTGATAACCAGCTGAATGTGGCAGGAGGCTCAGCCCTAGGTCTGAGGGTTGAGGCAGGTAATGATGTCACTCACAAGAGTAAGAGATGGAGAACTCATTCAGGAGGAGCAAGGGATTCCCTTTGGGACCAATTACCCTTTGAACACCTGTGAGACATTTAAATGGAGATGTATAGTGGGTATTTGGCTTCTGTATCAATAAGTCAGGAGACAGTTTTGTGCTAAGAAGTGGACTGGTGAATTCGATATATAGAAGTCAGTTGAATCGTGCATATGCAGTAGATCAATTTGGCTTCTGTATCAATAAGTCAGGAGACAGTTTTGTGCTAAGAAGTGGGCAGGTGAATTCGATATATAGAAGTCAGTTGAATCATGCATATGCAGTAGAGGGCTGAGGATAGTCATGATGAGAATCCTAATGCATCATAGAAGCATAGAGAGGGACAGCCTTAGAAAATGATTTTGGAAGAGATGTCAGCTGGGGAGTTGGTAAAACCCGGGAGAAAGTGGTATCACAGAACCTGTGGCAGAGTTTATAATGCTTACAAAATATTTTGTAATGTTTAAGTAGTGTTGGACATGGCCCTAGAAAATGGTGCTGTTTGATTAAGGGATCCTGAGCAGGTACCCTTCAGGGTGGACCACCTCCTTTTGAAGAGCTCTGTCTATGTCAGAAATCAGGGGAGTGTGCCCTCCCACCATTTGGACCTAATTCTAGTAGGTTCTGGTTTTTCGCATTCTGGTTAAGAGTTGTGACTGTTTTTTAGTTTGAATGAGGGTAAAGATTTCCTCTCTGTTTTTTTCTTCTCTTTGTTTTTAGAGAAAAAAAATTCAGATAGAAATGACTTTCTGTGCAGTTTTTGTTTGTTTTTTAGAGAGAGAGAGAGGGAGAGGGAGGGAGGGGCAGAGGGAAAGGAAGAAAGAGACTCTTAAGCAGGCTTCACACACAGCCCGGAGCCCAATGCAGGGCTCAACATTGGGCTTGACTTGGGGCTCGATTTCACGTCCCTGAGATCATGACCTAAGCCAAAATCAAGAGTCTGACGCTGAACCAACTGAGCCACCCAGGCACCCCTTCTGTGCAGTATTTCATCGGAAGTATCATAGTTCCTTTAAAATTTTAAGTTAACTAGAGAATATCTTTAACAACACAAATTTAGTCATGCATTTGGTCTGTCACGCATTTGGACTATGGGGGTTTCTTTAGAGCAGAAGCAAGGCATATTTATTTTAATGCTCCGAGGGCCTAACTCAGACGTTGGCCTGTAGAAGTGCTTAATAAATGCTTATTTTTGTCTTTGTTGTTTCTGATTACACAGTTTCATTTCTGAGAGCTTCCAAGTTCTCTTGAATCTTCTTACCTTCCAAGATCTCACATTGCTGCATTATGCCAATTCATCTTCTGAATTTTCATAATTCTACTTTTTTTAACCACCTAAAGTTCAGTATCTGTTTTCCATCCCCTCAAGGGTTCAAGCGAAATGAGAATTTATTTTAAGGCTGCACATTGATGCCACAACATTTAAGAGCAGGAATTGAAATAGAGCCAGACCTAAGGTATTGAGCTTGAGACAGAAAACTTTCAAAATGTTCCTGCTACTTTCGTTTCCACAAGGTCTCTTGTTTCTACTTCTCTTTGTTCTCTCTCTTTCAACTATTTATTTTGAAATATCTCAGTCCTATGCTACCATATGGAGTGTAATATAACCAAATGCATTCTTTTTTTTTTTTTTTTACGATTTTATTTATTTATTTGTCAGAAACATAGAGAGAGCACAAGCCGGGGGAGCAGTAGGCAGAGGGAGAAGCAGGTTTCCTGCTGAGCAAGGAGCCCGAAGTGGGACTTGATCCCAGGACCCTGAGATCATGACCGGAGCCGAAGGCAGACGCTTAACCAAATGAGCCACCCATGCGTCCCAACCAAATGCATTCTTAACCCTTTCATCTTAACTATCGAGAACCTTATGATGCCAAAATTAGTGTCTTACTAATGTCACATCTGTTCCACTACACCAACCAATTCCTCTGTGTTGGTCAGAAGGAAGCTCAGAGTGAGTTATGCTAGACTCCTTGTCTCCCCCCTGGGAGAAAGAATTAGCAATAACGGAGTCATAGACCTCATGAGATTTGGAGGTGATAGTCAGATGAGAGGCTTCCCGATCACAGCTCTACCTTCCCTCCCTGCATCAGGAATGAATTTATCTTCTTTCCCCACATGGCTTAATATATGCTTCCAAAAAAAATTACTGTGGGACTTTTGGTATTTGAAGAAAGTGTATTCTGTATTTCCATTTGGATAATGCTGTATTTGGATTTTAAGCTTCTCAGCAAAATATGAATTATCTTGCTGCTGTTCCCTTAGTATTCTTTTCTATGACTATTGCTAGGGGATGATAGGATTTTGTAGATTATGTACCCATTCTGCGTTCAACTCTTAACTTTTTCAGAGCTCTACAAATTTAGTGCTTATCATGACTGTGACAGGAGGTAGTGGAAACAACAATGGCACCTGCTCATTCTCCCCACATACCCAGAAGTATTTCCTGTTTGCTTGCCAGTAAGATTGGGATTCCTTTCTCAGAAGTTTGGTGCTCATGGTTATTATAAAGTGAGAAATAAAGAAAATAAATGTTTTCAAGTAGAGGATAAGTTTTATAGGAAGAAGTAAAAAACGGTCTGATTTCATCATCCTATTTCTGTACTCTGTATATATTGCATTTGAGCAATTTTGTCCTTTAGTTTTTCTCTGTGCTATTTATACATCACTTCTGAAGACAAATTGGATCTTCCTTAGCTAATGAAAAGTTGTCTTATTTAATAATTCAGAAATGTCTTATTTCTTTGGGGAAAATCTGCTTTTTTTTTAAGAAAAGTTTCTTTACCGTTTCAGCATTTTTGTTGACTTAAAGTCAGAGCTATATTATGTGTATGTTCTTAGAGTATAGATGGGCAATCAAGTTCGTGAAGATAAACCATTGAATTGTACCCCAGCCTTTTCTTTTCTGAAAGTCTCATGTCATTTCTTTTCTTTTATTTAGGGAATCAGCAGTCTCTTCAGTTCTTTAAAAGTGGTGCGTCTCTTGCGACTAGGCCGTGTTGCTAGGAAATTGGACCACTACCTAGAGTATGGAGCAGCAGTCCTCGTGCTTCTGGTATGTGTGTTTGGACTAGTTGCCCACTGGCTGGCCTGCATATGGTACAGCATTGGGGACTATGAGGTCATCGATGAAGTGACGAACACCATCCAAATAGACAGTTGGCTCTACCAGCTGGCCTTGAGCATTGGGACTCCGTATCGATATAATACCAGTGCAGGGATATGGGAAGGAGGACCCAGCAAGGACTCTCTGTACGTGTCCTCTCTCTACTTTACCATGACAAGCCTTACAACCATAGGATTTGGAAACATAGCTCCTACCACAGATGTGGAGAAGATGTTTTCAGTGGCCATGATGATGGTTGGCTGTAAGTATCTTGTTTTTTTCCTCTTTAATTAAAAAATCATTGTTGTTGGCAGTTTTCCAGACTCTAATCTCTAACAGGATGAAAATGAAACTACTTTGTCTTCAAAAAGGCATTTAATCCATATTATTTGCATTGGTTTAATTTTTATTCAGCCTTAGAATATAAATATGCAAATAATATATTTACTTTTTAGAATGTATTAGCACACGAAAAACAGTGTAGATAGACTGATACAAAAATCAGGATGGGAGCTCTTTGATTTAATTCTATTCACAGCATCCTATCTGGCAGAGCTCTTTCCAAGGGAGACCAGCATCTAGAAAGGCAACATCTAACACATCCCATAGGTTTTGTTGGCTGTGCATTAAATGTCAAAAAAGCAGACAGGATATGATGGGAGATACATAGTTTAGAAACTACTTTAGTTAGTAATTGAATTCTTGACTAACACTGATCTCAGGATAGTTTTATGTTGTTTTTTTACAATTAGGACTCATAAAAAAGTTTTATAAATCTGGTCTTCATTACAGACACTCTAGGTTGAATATTTGAGCCTTTGAGAGAATGCAAGGATTAGTAAATACAAGCTCATTTGGCAATGACAAAAGTGTCCAGGATTTAGCAGGCATACCTGAGTACTAAATGTCTGGATGGTGTTCCAGGGAGTAGAATGTTCTCTAAGGAGTGAAAGAACACATGTTCTCCACTCAGACTGAGGATCGATTATGTCAGATCAGAACATTAAGGAGATACATATCAAAGAAGCTGTTTTAAAAGAAGATTTTGAGGGAGACTTCACCATCATCTACCCCTTCAGGTTGACTTAGATGATTTATCCAAGCCTAGTTCTGACCCCTAGAGTAACCTTAAGATCATCGTACTAGAGGTATGACTAGTGTTATTAGCACCTGTTAAGCCTTTGGGTCATGGTCATTGGTTTGTGGTCTGAGCCATCCTTTTGAGATTCCACATTGCAGAGGTTTGTATTTTGACACCGATGGGAAAGATGTTAAGAGTCCGGGAGTGTCAGGTGGCCTATGAAAAGTCAATATCTTGGGTCAATGTAAGGCAGTTTTCACATTTTCAGAGTTGAAAGTTTTTGATAGCTATTGGAGCACCAATGTTAGCAGTTTAGCTTCCATTTCTCTATACTCCTTTGTGCAGGTGCAGAAACCAGAACACACAGGTTCTACTTGCTGTTTAGAGGTAAGGAGGTAGATTGAGAATGCCAAGTGCTGCTACTTCAGAGACCTTTAGGAGGAAATATGTTCCTACACACAAAGAGATCCTGATGATTAATTAAACTGCTGCCTACACACCCAACGTGATAAAATGTATTGGTGCGTTATAAATTCAGAAGACGACATTTTGTCAGATGTGGTATTTATTACTGTACTGCTTTTAGTATTTATATAATGCATTTTACCTTATACTCGAGCATAGTTAGATTTAAAAACATTTATTTTGAAGCAATTATTGATTCACTGGAAGTTGCAAAGATAGTATGGAGAAGGCCTTTGTGCCCTTTACCTAGTTTCCTCCAATAGTTACCTCCTCTATAATCAATCCAGCACATGATCGACATTGTCACTAACACAATATGTGTGTGTAGTTCTGTGTTGTTTTATCATGTGTAAATTCCTTTAACTACCACTGAAATCAAGATACAGAATTGTTCCATCACCACAAAAACTTCCTTCCTCATGTTACTCCTTTATAGTCATACCCACCCCTTCCCCCAAAGCATCCCTGGGCATTGGCAACTACTGTTTTGCTCTTCATCTATATAGTGTTGGGATTTTGAGAATGTCATGTAAATGGAGTCATGCAAAATGTGACCTTTTGAAATTGACTTTTAACATTCAGCATAACCCCTTGCAAGCCATCTAAGTTGTTGAGTGTATCCATAGTTTATTCCTTTTTTATTGCTGAGTGGTATTTTATGGTTTGGATATATCACTGTTTAACTGTTCATCTATTGAAAGCCATTTTGATTGTTTACAGTTTTTGCCATTACAAAGAAAGCTGCCATGAACATTTGTGTACAATTTTTTTTTTTTTTTGGATATAAGTTCTCAGTTCTCTGGGATAAATATCCAGGAAAGAGATTGTTGAGACACAAAATAAATGTATGTTTAGTTTTTAAAAGAAATTGCCAAACTATTTTGCAAGTGGTTGGACTAGCATAGTTAGATTTTTCTTTCTTTTTTTTTTCTCAACATTTTTAAACAATAGGATAATAGGAAAAAAAAATCTATATAGAGTTGAAGGATAGCACTATTCACTTTGTTTCTCAGGCCCCAAACATAGGAATCATCCTAGATTCTTGCTTCTTCTCATTTATGACATCTTTTTATAACAAGTCTTGTTGGCTTTACCTTCAGAATACATTTGATTATTTCTCTCCACTTCTGTAGCTTACCACTCAAGACCAAGTCACCATCACTGGTCTGGATATTTACTACAATCTCCTATATGTTCCTTCTGTTTTTACTCTTGCCCCATAGTGTCTACCCAGAAGTGATAGATGGAGCTAAAGAGTATTATGCTAAGTGAAATAAGTCGGTCAGAGAGAGTGAGAGTAGCCCTTTTAAAGTAAATAAGATCACACCATTCCTTTACTCGAAGCCCTCCGATGTTTTCCATTGCACATAATATAAAATCTAGATTCCCTACCCTTCTATCAAAGTCTTAATGGTCTGGCTGTTGTCCACCTTGCCCACTTCACTTTTTGTTGTTCCTGCGCTTGCTTATTCTATTCCATCCATGCTAGCCATCTTGCTTTGAACACTTTAAGCTCAGTCTTGTCTCAGGGTCTTCATACTTGCTTCCCCACTGCTTATAACACCCCTCTTATTTATGCCATGAATTCATGCAGGTCTCCACTCAAATTGCCTCTTCAGAAATTCCTCCCAGTGCTATCCTCTATAAAAAGAGAACACCCAAAGCCAATCACCCTTAATCCTTGCCCTTTAATCTTTTGCTTCTGTACTTACCAAGACCTGAAAACACATTTACTCCATTTTTCTTTTCTTTTCTTTTCCTTTCCAGACAGTAGGGCCTTTGTCTGCCTATTTTTGCTTTTGTATACTCAGCTTCTAAACAATTTTTTATGCCATACTCAATCACAGTTTGTTGTATGAATGAGTGAAACTGAAGATGTCCTTGATGGTTATAATGAGAATCTCCTGTTCTTGAATCCACTCCAGTTAGGTCTCTGATGAAGATACATGCTGGGAAAGTGCACACGCTTCAAGGTTTGGCTCTGATTCCTTTGTGAAAGCCCTGAGTTCACCTATGTCTGCCTCTGGGAATGTAGTGGCTCCTGTACTGGATTGCTTCAACTCTACGTCTCTAAGTTCCTGATGAGAAGTTCTAAGAGGCTAGTTAGTGAAAGCGCCAACAACCCGGTCTCCCACCACTTTTTACTGTCTACCTTTGGAATCTAGGTAGACATTGAAAATTTTCATTGTAGGTTGAATTTTCAAATCATTGAAAATTTTCATGTAGATTCAGTTGAGTTTTTAAAACTTCATTTAGTTCATTTTGGTTACATCCTTTCTCTAGTTCATGTATGGCCAGTTGTAGTGCTATATCTAAAGGTCTTTCTCCTTCTTTTATCTCTATTTAGTTCCTATCTTGATTTCAAGATGAAGACCTGGTCTTAAACTTGGCCCCTTTCTTTTCTGAGTTTCTGCGATTTTCTTTTTTAACACCCGAGCATTAGCTTTCCGTTTATAAACTAGTTTCTGACATTTCTTTTGCCTGTTGACTTTGGTTTTCTTTTTATGCCTCAAGTCCAGTTTCTATTGCCAGGAGTGTTCCAGGGAAATGCTTTTTAATTTCCTTCTTAGTTCCTGGGTCCTTAGTAATTTAATGGCATGTTTCCTTTGCAGCCACCCAAGAAGCTGATAGAAAACTGTCAAGACCCATGAAGTGTTACAGTAACTTCTTGCAATTCCAAAATTTATTAGACACACATGCTCAAAATATCAACCAAATGTGCCTCTTGTAGCTGTTTGTAATCTTAGTATCACTTTTCTCCCTACAATAACACCAAGGAAGACAAACAAAACAAACTACTACTGTTCCCAGAACCCAGTATGTGTTATCAGCCATAGATGCAGCTACGGATTTAGCTAGCATGTATGTCTGTATGCCTCTGTGCGTGTGTGTGTGTGTGTGTGTGTGTGTGTGTGTGTGTGTGTGTGTGTCATGGGGAAGGAGAGTAAAGGAAGAGGGAAATAGAAAAAGAAAGCTTCGTGATTTTAGTTGTGCTGATTCTAGTCAATCTAGAATTGAGTGGTGTTTGAGAAGTACCAATTATAACCTTATAACACAGTAACTGAGAAAACTGTTTTATCAAAAGTTTGGTGGAGAAACCAACTCCCTGTATTCTGTGGAGAAAAATAATCACTACTTGTAAAATGATAGCCTCTTTTTCTGGAGAAAGTCATCTAAAGTTTTCATGCCTTCTAGCAAAATTGAGAAATTTTAATGGCAACAATTCCAGTTCCTAGGTCCATTCTGAGCCCTCTTCTTTCTTTAATGGCCTTTCCTCTCTGACCTCTAGGTCCTTTCACCCCTAATGCTGAATTGCATATGGACTCTGTCCAGGAACACAGTCTCAGGGTTCTCCTTGCTGCTTTCAGACAAATATTCAGACAAAATTTATGACTGTGTCCTTCCTTCAATCCCAGTCACCTTATGTTCCCTCTTGATCCCTTCCATGTCAGCAGGATCCCAGGATTATTTCTTTTATCTGCTACCTGGGGATTTCTTAGACTTAAATCCTTTGTCCATCATTTGTCCAGGGTGGAGAATCTTCCTGCTCAGATTTGCAGGACTAGAAAAGTTGTTTGGATCTTCTCAACATATGTCTACCACCATGCATTCTTTATCTCAAATTTGTCTCTTCTCAATTTTGGCATGCTCTATGCCTTGAGTAGAACTTCATGGCTCTGGTAGCAGCCATTATACTATCTCAGGATAGTAAACTC